CAACCCTCGGCGTTGCTCCCGCCCCTCGCTCAGCCAGTGAGCGACCGGTCTGTATGTGGGATCCGAACCCTCGGCGGGAGCACCACCGTGCTTCCCAAGCGGCGCACTATAGCAGTGCGCCACCGGGCCGGCCCAAGAATAATCTTTTGATTAAAAGTGACAGCACAGAAAATGTTGGCTAAACCTGAGTCTGTGCTGGGAAGTTTAAGTATATTTGTAAATATTCAAGCACATGTGCATCTACTTATTACTGTGGCTGGCATTTAATAATGTATATATTAAACAACAATAAGACTGCTAGTCTTATTGTTCTAGTATTTGTAAAATGTTTGGTCTGTCTTTGCTGTTTTTTAAATGGCAGGTTGTTATGTAAGCTAGAAGGTTTTGAAGTACTTCTGTTGTAGGAAACATGTGGTCATATCCAGTCATGGAATGGGAAGATATCTAAGTCAAATGGAAAATGTTCTTTCCAGCACAGCTTGGAATAAATAGTCCGCATAGCACAGGATGTCTGGGACAACGATGCCATACTTCTCATGCACATGGTATGTCTATTTGAACGTATCCCTGCATTATCCTGTTTTTCTCATATTTGCTCTTTCCCCTTTCTAATTGTAGGAAAAAACCAAAGAACTAGCAGAGAAGCAGGTGCAACTGTAAGTATGGCCCGGTTACTGTCCCTGCCTCTTAGCAGCAAGTGCTTCCCTGGGGAGCGACATCCCGAGGAGCCTCCCACATGCCTTGGGGTCAGCACTGGGTTTTTGCCACACTGTCCTTCCATCTCAGAGAGGCCTTTTCCATTTCCTTAATCATCATCATGGGAAGCTCTGTGTTCGGGAAGTTTCTCCAGAGCATTCTTATGGCTGAGTGGGCAAGGCCTCTTTTGAGTCTTCCCCTTCCCTTCACTTTCCCAATTACCACATTAAGACTAACCTGCTCCTTTAGAAAAACACAACCCTGCTTGTGAGATAGGGAGGTACATTGCCACTCTCCAATGTCTGTTTTCATAGAAAGCTCTATTTCTGCCCCATACGCTGCTGGTGGGATTTGGATTTATCTAACACACACGTTCAGATCCTGTGACCCACAGTCCCACCCAAGTGGACACCTAGATTAGCCTTCACCTGCAGGGCAGTTCCTAAGAGCAGAAGCTGGAAGGCACCACATGTCTTGTGGCAGCACTGCAGTGTGTTCATACAGAGGTCACTGTGGCAGTGGAAGGGAACGAACTGTGGCTGCATGCTGTCTCAGGCCAGCTGCATCTAAAAGCAATGCTGGAGAAAAAGCACCCAGAAAAGTATCATTATGTAATATGATTTCACACACACACACACACACACACACACACAC